GGGAAGAAGGTTCGGTATTTGGTGGGATTGGTTCCTTTACCCCTTTTCCCTCCCCCCCCACCCCCCGCGAGGAGCCCTCAAGTCTGGATCTCGGGGGGCTCGGGCTTGCCACGACCGGATGGATGGAAGCTGGACGCCCGGAGGCCTCGGGAACGGCCGCCGCCGCCTCCCCTCGCCCTCCTCAGTCAGCGCGCTCTCCCGCTCTCCGCCGCGGCCCCCACCCCGGCCGGGCCCCGGCGCCCGGGGGACGCGGGTGTAAAATGACACCCGCTGGGGGCCGAGGCGGCTCCAGTGCGCAGGCTCCGGGCGCGGGATAAAAGCGGAGCCGGCGAGCCCGGCCCGTCTCCATGGAGGAGCGAGAAACGGAGGAGATCGGGGGCAAGCAGTAAGGAAAACAGCCACCAGCGGCGCCGCCTCCCTGCCACCGTGTCCGGGGTAAAAAAAAAAAAAGCTGTCGTTGCCGTAGCTGTCGCGGCCTCCTACTTCTCTGAGCCCCGGGGAAGAACTTCCCCGCCGAGGGACAATGCGGGGAAGGGAGCGGGAGTTCCATGATGTGGCTGTGACTGAGGGGGGGGGGGAGGAGAAGAGGGGCAGACCGTTATCGCGAAGAAAAAAAGGACAAGGCCGGAGAATAAAACATGGGTCCCCCTCCCCCCCCCTTTAAAATGGCACGGTGATTCCCGCTCTTGTTTTCGGGGGGGTCTTTCCCCGAAATGGCGGTTTCCGTCCTGTCCTTGCCTCACAGCGACCCGAACGTCTGGGTACGCCGAGTGGGGGAGAGGCGGAGGCGGCCCACGCAGCCAATCGGGGCCGGGTGTGCTCCGCCCGGCGCCTTGTGATTGGCCGGCGATGACCTCATGCTGCAGCAGCGGGCGGGGCCAGCGCCCTGAGGGAGGCTGTGAAAGGCAGAGAGGGAGAAGGGACGGCGGGGTTCGTCGCTGCCGCGCCGATGTGGAACCCAAGCAGTGGCCAAGGGACTCTCAAGGCTCTTCCCTGACATTTCCTCCTGTCCCTGCGCGAGGTGAGGGCCCCCGGCTCGGCCTCTGCGGAACTTCGGGGCGCTGGCGCGGACGAGGAGACACAATTGCTCCCCATGACTTTTTTTTGTAACTGCGTCAGGGCAAGATGGCGCTGGGCCTCCTTTGGGGCGCGGGGGGAGAGGCACGTCCACCGCCGCCGTCGCAGCGCATGTGACCGGGCTGCATTCCTGTGGGGTTTGGCTGGGACCCAGGCCGGGCGGGGAGGGGAAAGGGCTCGGGCGGCGGAGACTGGCGCGGTTGGCTTGGGCGACCTGAAGAGGAAGAGATGACTGTTTGAGGGCCTCCCCTCCCCCGCGCGCCCCACAGCTGCGGCTCCGGGGGAAGGGGGGGGGGGGGGCCGGGCCGGGCGGCCGGCCCTCTCGGGGTGTGGCGGCTGCTGGTGGAGGAGGTTTGGCACCCTGTTTTGGTATCTGCCTATCTCCTTGCGAAGCAGACGTAACCTAAGGTGGCAGGGTCCCTAGGGTGAAAATGTGAGCCCTTGGAGCCACTAGACTTCTGGGCCACAATGCAAGGAGTATCAATTATTTTCTGAGAAAACGTAGTTTTATCAGACCGAATAAAAAGTAGTCCCTTTTAAATTTGGAAGCAGGTATAAATAACACCCAGGAACACTTTAATTTTATAAAAGTTACCCCCCCCAAAAGGGAATATATCTGAATTCTGAGGGCCCTTTTCAAACTTTTTGTACCTTCCACTGTAATTTCCCTGTCTGTATCTTCTACAAGAATGTGCAATGTCATCAATGGATTTGCCTTTCTGTTTAAATTTAAGCATGATCAGTAATACAGAATAAAATCTAGTGTAATCTGAAGTTTTAAAGCTGCTTTCAATACTTGTATATTGTCTTTCTATCTCCCTCTTACGTATAGTTTAAAATAAAATTATAATCACTTGGTGAATGTTAAGATTCCTGCACCATTATGAAACATTAAATCCTTCTTTAAACCACTTTTGTGGAAGTGTGAATATAGTTTCTGAAACCTTGTTAGTTGAAGATCTCCAGCAATTTAAAAATTCTTAAGGTTTAAATTGGCATATCAATAAGAAAGACTCCCTTTGTTCATTATTGTTCCCACTTGGTCAAACTAGTATAGTAGCCATTATCTAAACCAGTGAAAATTTAAAAGACTTCTTCCCATGGAGTCAACTGAGAATAGGGAGTTATTCGTGGAATACGTGTGCACGGAAACCTGGCTTGCTTTTTGAGGGAACCACCTCTATTTGATGCCAGGGGGAATGTTTGCTGAACCTGAAAAGATAAGTTTAACCTGGATCTGAGGTTGTGCTGTTTCCTTTAGTCTTACTAGTAGACTTGGTAGTTTGGAAACAAGATTGATGTTTTTAATTAATTTGTGTATACCTAAATCCTTACTAGTTGTGGCTTTTTTTTTTTTTTAAGTGACTGTGAATGAACTGAATGTGAAAGACAGAAAAGCCAATGACTAATTGTAAATATTAAGTAGTACAGAGATTTTAAAGTTCAAAGCTTTTTTGTTTTCACTCCGAATATAAAATGGGTATTTTGCCTATGAGGACTCACAGATAGCTTCCAGGGTCTATTTGTTATGTATTTGTTATTTTCCCTTAGAAAATAGGAGTAAACATGAAGTCAGTCAATTTTAAGGTAATTTTTAAAATGTTCCTAGTTTTTTGTGCCTTAAGGAAAAGAGGTGGTTTATCAAGCTAATGGAAACAGATCCTTGATTTGTACTTCTGATAAGCATGTATCCTTATTGTTCCTACTCACCCAATTCATGAGCCCTAGTCTTTATGTTTCTGAAATTCTAAATACTATTTCCAATTACTTACTTTACCTGGCTACCTTTTGCACTTTATGTTCTCTGGGCAATTTGTGCCTATTCCCTGATAATTCCCACACTTCTGTCTCAAAGCTGCAGGTGGAATGTTAAGATTTACAAGGGGCCACAGGTTACTTGACCTCATATAAAAACACTAAGCTTAGTACTTGATTCCTAAGAACTTTCTTCACCCATTCTCTTAAGAAAATTATTTCACTTCTCATCCTACATTTCATTATCTAAGTCATACCCCAACCTTTTTGTCCCTATTTCTGTTCAAATATAACTGGGTTCATATAGCAGACATCCCCTGATGGGCTAAATATTGTGTCGGCAACTAAGTAATTGCGGGTTTCACGGCTTCAGTTGAATTTTTAGGTTTGCAGACGTAGTACAAATGTAAAACACATTTGTAGTTTTCGTTTGGCGTTCGTTGAAAAATGGAAAATCAAAAGGAACATTTTCGTCATATTTTGCTTTTTTATTTCCGCAAAGGGAAAAACGCATCGCAAGCTCATAAAAAGTTATGTGCTGTTTATGGTGACGAAGCCTTAAAAGAACGGCAGTGTCAAAATTGGTTTGCCAAATTTCGTTCTGGTGATTTTTCACTCAAAGATGAAAAACGCTCTGGTCGTCCAGTTGAAGTTGATGACGCCCTAATCAAAGCAATAATCAATTCGGACTGTCACAGTACAACATGTGAGATTGCAGAGAAGCTTCATGTATCACATACATGCATTGGAAATCACTTAAAACAACTTGGCTATGTTCAAAAACTCGATACATGGGTTCCTCACGAACTGAAAGAATCACAGTTAACACAACGCATTAGCAGCTGCGATTTGCTAAAGAAACGTAATGAAAATGATCCATTTTTAAAACGACTGATAACTGGCGATGAAAAATGGGTTGTTTACAACAATATCAAGCGGAAAAGATCGTGGAGCAGGCCAGGTGAACCAACTCAAACAACATCAAAAGCTGATATTCATCAAAAGAAGGTTTTGTTATCAGTTTGGTGGGATTACAAAGGAATTGTCTACTTTGAACTCTTACCACCCAACCGAACGATCAATTCTGATGTCTACATTGAACAACTAACGAAATTAAACAATGCAGTTGAAGAAAAGCGGCCCGAATTGACAAATCGAAAAGGTGTTGTATTCCATCATGACAATGCAAGGCCACACACATCTTTGGTCACTCGGCAAAAATTAATGGAGCTTGGTTGGGATGTTTTGCCACATCCACCATATAGTCCTGACCTTGCACCATCTGATTACTTTTTGTTTCGATCTTTACAAAACTCCTTGAATGGTAAAAATTTCAATAATGATGATGATGTCAAATCGTACCTGATTCAGTTTTTTGCTAATAAAAACCAGAAGTTTTTTGAACGTGGGATTATGATGCTGCCTGAAAGATGGCAGAAGGTCATTGATCAAAATGGGCAATACATTACAGAATAAAGTTATTTAGTTCCATGAAAAAATTGTCTTTGATTTTCTTTTAAAAATCCGCAATTACTTAGTTGTGCTATTTCATGTGTTCATGTCTTTGTTCACAACTCCCTGAAGTGTACCTCTTCCCGCTCCTGGTTAATACAACTTGAGCCTTTGCCTTTGAAACTTCCAAATATCTATTCCCAAGTAAAACGAACCATTCTTTACATTGGTGACTCAGCCCAATTTGTACATGCTTTTTTAAAGGTTGATAACACTTTTTTATTAGACAATACAGTATAAAATACTTTCATTTAAAAAAAACACACACATTTTGACCGCTAAAATTTGGAGAAGAGATGAAAGGTTAGGATTGCTTTGAAGCAAGATTTTATCCTCTTATAAAATGGGTGGGGAAACGGGTCCAGCTGATGGGACAGACGGTTCTGTGCCACCCCTCCTCCCCCCAAAAAAATGGAAAGAAAAAAACTGGCCTTCCCCTGACCAGTTTGGCTCAGTGGATAGAGCATCAGCCTGCGGCTTCGATTCCAGTCAAGGGCAGGTACATTGGTTGCGGGCACATCCCCGGTGGCGGGTGTGCAGGAGGCAGCTGATGGATGTTTCTCTCTCATCAATGTTTCTAACTCTCTATCCCTGTTCCTTCCTCTCTGTATAAAAATCAATAAAATATATTTTTAAAAAACAACAAAAACTGGCCTTGAGCTTCTTGGCCTTTTGATTGAGATCGCGTAGTATCTGTTCTTATCTGTTTAATATCTGATATGTCCTCTGAGGACAATATATTAAATGTATTTTTGGAGCAGGGATATGGAATGAGTTTGCTTCATCCACTCGATGCATTGACCTGGTATTGCAGTACTTCTGGGTGCACTCAAAAACCCCCACAAAACTGGCATTAGTTTTAGTCAGTATCCTTATTTCTCAAATCAAGAGGATATTTTAACCTATAAACTTCCAACAGTATATAAAACCAGTGATCATTTGAGTTTATAATTATTTGATGTGTTCAGGGTTTATCAAGCTTGCTCTGATACTGGAGGACCCAATTTGTTGTGCCCTTGAGTTTAATTATTTTTGTCCCTTGCTGTCAATTTTAAGTGCCATGTGCCAGCCTTTAGTAGCTATATGTATTTTATATGTCATGAGATTGGCATTCCAATAACAAGGCTTATAAAAATTGTTATGTGAAATGAAATTTTGCAAATATGAGCTTTATAGCATAAACATTGATGATCCTTTTGTCTGTTCTTAACGCTTTGGGGGTTATTTTTCAGTAGTCATCGTCTATTTTCACATTTGTTGAAACTCAAGTTTAAAGTAAGAAAATATTCTGAATTACCTGTGACTTTAACTGGATTTTGTTTTTATACGAAACTAGAGTCCTTGTGCACAAAATTCGTGCAAGGCCCTCACAGCCCCAGCTTTGACCAGAAGGTCTTCTGAAAGGTCTTCCGGCTGTCTGGTCCAATTAGCATATTTCACTTTTATTATTACATATTTTCTTCTGTCCCACCCTACCCCTGACTTTAGTGTCCTCTAAGTGCTAAATGAAAATATTTATATCTGAAAATTGTTTGAACTTTATACCTTAAAATACTAGGGTAAAACAACATACAAGCCTGATAAATTTAACTTTCTGAAAAATGAGTGCAATGCTATCGCTACAGCAGAAAGGGGTTACTCATGTTAACACTAAATCTGCAATTCATATTTACAAATAGTAGTAAAAAAAAAACTGTTAAAGGCTGTGGATACCTTGAATCAACTTGAATTATTATTAAGAAAAAGCCCTCGCCCAAGCATGTCAAGCTCATGGACTGCATGCCTCAATAGGCCTGGGTTAACCTTTGAGTTTGACATGCTTGCCCTAGCCGATTTGGCTCTGTATTGAGTGTTGGCCCACAGATTGAAGGGTTCCAAGTTCAATTTTGGTCAAGGCCATGTATTTCTAGGTTCAATCCCCAGCCCTGATCGGTTGGGGTGGAAAGAAAAAGGAAGAAATTCCCTTGGGTGAGGATTAACAACAACAACAAAAAACACACACAAAGAAAATGGACGTGCACATTTTAGACCTAGGAAAAGGACTGGTTTGTTCCCTTTATTGTTGTTTGTTTTGTTTTGTTTTTTCAGATAGCTAAATTATATGCTGGTACATACTTAACTGAGTCTGATTAGCCATAGTAAGATGAGTAATATTGTTTTGTTTTTTTAGTAATATTTTATTCATAACTATTCTAAGGAATACTTTGTACTAGATTATTCTCTAGTGCACAAAAATGAAAGGTAGCATCAGTCCTTTTTTAAAATTATTAAATGATTCTCTTCTTAGAAAGTAAATCAGTGTAATCAATTCCAAAAATTATGGAAACCATGCACTTGTTTAACTCTCTCAAACCAGATTGCTTCTATCACCAATAACTTGATTTCCTAAAGGGGCAAAGTAACACAAATGCTTTGTGAGTACTTGAGGTGGTTTAACTCTGAATTCGGGAAAATTTCTACTAATATGTTAAATACTTGAATAATTATAGCATGGTTAGATCTTAGCAACTAAACACCTAGTAGGAATTTATAAACCTCTCCATTACATATTTTGCACACATTATGCCCAATGCCTGGCTCCTAATGTCTTTCTGATAAACTTTAATGTTGTTAGGTAAAGAGAGAGAGAACCTGTTCCTTCAGTTTAGTCTAATCTTCTTAAGTTTTTAATGAAAAAAGGCTATGCTAAGGTAACAGCTCATTCTAGAAGAAAACTTATTTTGGATAAGCAAGAAATGCCAAATTATTTTTTCTCATTCTGTTAATATACAATAGTAGAAACCTGAAAAGTTAGCAAAAAATATTCACTCTTAGGTTTGTGTGATAACAATGGTATAGTATTATCTAGGCATCTCTCCTTGTGTCCTAAACACAACTTATCTAACCACATCTCTGCAAGACTTTCTGTAGCTACTTTCTATTTTTATTCCCATGCTCTCTTTATGGCCAGTTAAAGGGCAAATGGGAGTAAAAGGATAAGAGGATATATCAAATGATTGATTGAAAAAATACTTTAGATAATGAAATGGCTGTGAGAAAAGATATTCTACCAATAACATCTGAGGTCAAGGGAAGTTAACTAGCTCCCCTTTTCCACAAACTCAGTGTTTTGTGTCAATGTTGGTATTCCTGGAAAATAAGACTATATGCAATTATTTCCCTTTATAACATTTTATCAAAGTTGTGTATTTTTATGTGTTCCAGATGGGATGGTCTTATATAACCTATAACATTTGATTATTTAGAATATTCCTTCTTAAAACTCCTTGGTTTATATGCTAAATACCTTTTGCTGATTTCCTCCTGTTTTCATTAATTGCTTTCTTATGCTTTTAGTTTGGTAGTTCTCAGTGTTATGTCCCCAGCCACTTTTTCACCAATTGTATTAATCATTCCCACCCCTTTACCTATTGATGAATTTATAACCTCTGAACTCAAATAGAACTATTAAATATGGATACTTCAAAATAAATTGAAAACAATTTTTCTCTAAACTTTTCTCCTTGTATTTCCTTTTTTGGTTAATGGTTTTAACCTTCTAGCTTATTCATGTGATCAAACATCTTTTCAAACAATCTTTTATGCTTAAAAGACTTAATTCACCAGAGATTTGAAGGTAAAGTCCAAACACTATAACATGCTAGGTTTTTCTTCTAGCTCCTCCTTATGAACCTCATGGAAACCACTGAAATTAAAATGACCTGAGTTTGAATATTTGCTCTTTCATTTCAAGTAAGACCTTAAGAAGCTTGCTTTCTGGGCCTTAGTTTCATAACTCATAGAACAGATAAAATATTGACTGTTTCATCATTGTGATTAGGGATTAAATGAGAAATAAAAGCTAAAAAAAGTTGGTATGGCTTTAGAGCTAATCAAATCCATTGGTTCCCAGACTTTGGGAGGTCTTGTATGAATTAAATTATAAGAAATAGGGAAACCAATATAGTTGGTAGTTTTAGTTCTCTAAATAGCAACATTATACTAACACTTGGTTTTTTAAATGGTTAACAGCAAATAAGGACATAGTCAAGTCTATAAATACAGTACTTAAATTATTTTCAAATAATTATTTCAAAATATATTACAAAGAAATGGTAAAAATATGAAAGTATTTTTGAAAATATTACAATTTTGTGGGACTTTTGTACAGTGTATTTCTATAGAAATTGATCAAAGAAATAAAATAGAATGCTTTCCCTGGTTCTCTCTGGGTTTGCATATAGGTTTACAAAAAGATTTTTGTATGTATTTCCAGAGATCAGTCCCCACCCAAGATGTTCTAGTTTGCAGTGATATGGGGAAAATGCTTGTAAATTAACTAAAAGTGGAATACAAACTATCTTTTAACACCAAGGACAATTATGTTCCTAAGTAATGTTTATTCTAACTTTGTTTCGTGGTCTACTTCCCCTCCTGTTCATCACTACTGCCTCTACTTTAGTTCAGGCAGTTGCCTGAAAAATTTTATATATATATATATAGTGATATCCTGGCTTATTCTAGCTTTAATTTTACTCCTAGTCCATCGGTCTTCCTTAAATGTGATGTATGTTTATTGACAATGTGAATCTTACCTTGAAATTCTTTAATGGAGTGCATGCTCCTTAAGATGGCATACAAGGCCTTCTGTAATCTGGTTCCTGTCTTTTTCCAATGAAAGATTCAGATAGTCCTCCTTGCTTCTACCCATAATACTATTACTGCTTTCAGTTCCTTCAACTCACAATGTGATCTCTGACCTTTCTTTTGTAAAATTGTCTCTACATGGAATACCTCCCCTTCTCCCCCTTGAGAAGGCATATCCTTCAGTTCAAGTGTTTTCCTCTGAAGTTTTCCCTGATGCTCTTCTAAGAAGTCCATTGTTCTTTATAGTTCCATAAACCTTTTCCTGAGCTCTATTATAGCACTTAACTGCAGTTTGTTTATAACTATATAGAATCTCACCCTGCTGGACTTTGAGCTCCTAAAGGCCAGTGTTTAACTTGCATTGTCTCCCTCAGATGAATGCATAGGTCTTACATTAACACTTAGAACAGCTTGGCCAGTGTGTGTCATCCATGTACCTAAAGCAGTGTTTTTCAACCTTTTTTGGGCAAAGGCACACTTGTTTCATGAAAAAAATCACGAGGCACACCACCACTAGAAAATGTTAAAAAATTTAACTCTGTGCCTATATTGACTATATATAAAGTAATTCTCTTGAATAGGAATCAAACACAAAGAAAGTATTTTATAATTACTTTATTATGAAATATTAAGTAAACAAAATAGTGAAAAATTATAAAATTCTTGTCTGCACCTACGGCACACCAGGCAACATCTCGTGTGCCACGGAACAGCGGTTGAAAAACGCTGACCTAAAGGATGCTAGTTCGATTCCTGGACAGAGTATGTGCCCGGGTTTTGGGCTTGATCTCCGGTAGGGTGTGTGCAGGAGGCAGTTGATCACATTGATGTTTCTCTCCCTCTTAAAGTCAATTTTAAATTAAAAAAAAACAAACACACCTACAACATAATGCTCAAGTAAATGTTTAAGTAGGTCTCTTCACTCTTTGGTGTAAGTATAAATCTGCAAAATAGCTACTAAAATTGTGAACAGGGTTAGAGATGTATTTTTGTAGTTAAAAGTTAGGAAACCTAAAGTTACTAATGAGGTGTGCAGAAGAGCAAAACCATCCTTATTCTAGAAAAAAATAATACGAAGAAAATACTTGGACATCTGTTCTCAGGTTTCATCCCTCACAATTGTCTTGAAAGACTTAAAATGCCCAGTGAAACATATCCTGGTACTTTGTCCATTGCAAATGAAAGCTTCCCTTCAAAAGGTGTTAAATTGTTT